TATCTCTGACCTCAAGGTTTTTTGCTTCTGCTGTTTATCTACAGTTAAGTGATTACTCTCGCTTTGTCTCCAAGCTCTGATTTATTGTTAATGAGGCTCTTAGTAGTTAACACCAGTCTGCAGAAGCAGAGGAGGTCGAGCAGAGGTTAACTAAGCAGTGAGAGACTTTAGTTTAGAAGCTGCTGTGAACCAAAGCTTTTTCTCTTGTTAACTCTTATCTTCTTTGTTGGCTTCGTCACAAGCAGCAGTGCTGAGCTTCCAGCTTTGTTGCAAGTGTGATGTGTCTTCTTACATGTGACAGCTGAAAATGTGTGTGTTTGTGTGTGTGTGTGAGGGAAAGGAAACCGAAGTGTGAGTGACAGCTTGGCACTCAGCACGCTCTGTCAATCAGATTTGTGTGTGTGCATGTGTTTGTGCATGAGTGTGTGGATAGGGGTGTGCCTGTCTCCACATTTGTGTGTTGTGGCATCAGAAGAGGCCTGGAGCGAAGTTTCAAGCTGCCCATCACGGCGCAGCCAGAGACGGGTCCTCCACGGACCTCCAGCAGGCCCCATTATCTGGCACATGCACACACACACACACACACATCAGTCAGGGGCCCATTACCAGACCACAAACCCCAGGACAGTACTGAACCTGCAGAAAACTCACAGTGCCAACCAGAGGTAGAAATCATATTTAGGTGTAGTTTTAGTCTCTCTGCAGAAAACTTGACCAGGAGTTGATGCAGCTCATCAGCATTGTATTAAATACACTCACCAGGCGAACGCTATGTGAAAACATTACAGTACAACCTTACTGATCAATTGCATACTCCACTAGATCCAATTAAGTCTCCGCAGATATAATAGCAGAATGGTGTAATTGCTTGGAAAAACATTTTTGATGAGTGATTGGATTTTTTGAGGAGGAGAGGGGGGAGGGGGGTGTTAGTGCAGCATATTGCGTTACTTCAACTCAGTGCACAGGGCCAGCAGACGGGGTGGAAAAACCTGCTCCTCTCAATCTGTTCACCGACTCAACTTATTTTTTTTTAGTTTTTATTGTTGTTTTATGGCTGCGTCAGTGTTTTGGATTCAATATGGTCACATGCTTACCACGGAAATGGCCCACAACGTTTTTGAAGGACAAACAACCATATACAATCACAATCTGCAGGAAACCCACACAGATATGGGGAGAACATGCAAACTATAAAAGCATGTTACTACATTTTCAAATTTACAAAAAAGTAATTTCAGATACGTTGAGGTTGAAAAAGTATTTTTCAGCTCACAACCCAACGTCTCAGCAAGAAGGCAAATAAGTGCATTAAGTTTGGTTCCTTCCTGTTTCTTTAAACAGAAGTATATCACTTCCTGTCGTTTCTTCTCCCTTCAGACCATGGTGCCACCTTTCACCCCTTCGCCCACCGAGTGCCAGTCCGCCAGCCTGGTCTCCAACTCCCCTGTCCTCTCCGGCAGCTACAGCAGCGGCATCTCCTCGCTCAGTCGCTGCAGCGTGTCGGAGGCCTCGGGCACGGAGCTGCCCGTAGGGGACCATCCGCCCCACCCGCTGCCTCCGCCCACCACCTTGCCAAACTCCGTCTCCAGCGGCTCCGATGAGCCTATCCGCAGGGAGAACAAGACCCCGCCTCCTTACAGCGTGTACGAGAGGAACAACCCGCGCAGACCTGTGCCACTGCCCCACAGCCTCTCCATCCCCCCGCAGATTGACCCCCCCGCGCTGCCGCCCAAGCCTCACCAGCTCCGCACGGGCAGCATGAAGCTGGAAGGAACCTCGGACCCCCGGGTCCCAAGACCAAGGCCTCTGCCCAGGAAGGTGTCCCAGCTATAGATGCTGGATAAGGCTCCAGGTCTGAGGGGGTTTGTGGAAGGAGGCGAAAGAAACAACACTGGCGTAATTTGCACTTTTCTACTGGGCACACTTGTTTTTTTTTGTGATCTACAGTTTGGCATTCCTGACCTTCACTCCAATAAAAGAAACAGGCCTACAGATTAACTGGCAGTCAAAAAATCAAAAGGGAGAAACCTTCTTTTTGTATTTACTAGAGGGCATTGCATTGACTTCGACTCGGTCATTCCGCACTTTTAGCTCTAGTACGTACAGTAGGTCGCCACGGTCAGTCACGACATATGTTTACCAGAACACAGTTTTGATAGATGTAATAATCTCAAAAATATGTATATTGGTATATATAAGAGTTGTTTTTGCCTTAAGTATTGGAAACAGAGTCTTTTATCCGTGAGTCTTGCACGTTTTCTTTTTTTTTTTTAACAACTCAGTACATTTGTATTGGATGTGGCTAAAAAGGTGCTAGAGGCCTTTAGTATGCATTTCAGTGAAGTGTAGTAGACGAGGGTGTGTTCTCATATCCACACAACCACTGGCACAGACCAAGAAACAGGTTAAACAAGGAATATTATGATTATAAACATTTTGAGACCAAATTGAAGACGTATTTCAATTCCATATTGATGCATATAAATTAAATAAATTGCCACAACTCTACTCTTCTTAAATTTAACTTCTTATGTTTCACAAATTGCCTGGAAGTGCAAGTGCATGTTTCAAAGCTGGAGTTTACCATTGGTCGTTGCCATTTATGTGAACACACCCTTATCCTCCTGCATGATGTAAATGATAACAGATCTTTAGGGGGGTGGGGCTACCAAGTATTGTGCCAAAGGAAAATGTACAATGTGCTTTTTATTATTTTTTTTAAATGGGACCTGGAATCAAGAAGTTTGGAAATGCTCCACTAAAGAGACATTTTTAAATATTGAAAAAAAAAATTGCACCCACTCATCCTGATTGAACTGTAATCTACTGATCACATGTAAACTCTAGATAAGCACAAACAATATTTTATCATCTGCTCCGTCACCGCGGAGTCTCCGTGTGACGAAGACGTGATTGAAACTGGAGTGTCGCTGTCAGCGGTGACCTTAAAAGGCACGACGACTGACTCTATCAGAGAAATATTTACAAATTAATCATTGTCAAATATTTGTACAGTTGAGATTTACTTTTCTGTTTGATTAAAAAATGGACGTGAGTCGACTGCACTAAAAATAGTGGCTCGGTTCAACGCTGTTGTTGCAGGGGAGTGCGTGTCTTGTGGCAGGCGGACACAGCTTTGTGAAACAGACGGAACATTTTTGGTATAAGATAGTCATCGATCTTAAATATTGTGCAACCTTTTTGTGGGAGGTGGGTGTGGGGGGAGGGGGGGGGGTAGCTTTTAGTATTGTTTGTATGTTTCTTGAGAAACTGTAAATTATACGATGAGATTAATGTACGTATGCCAAATATACAAATTTGTGTATTACAATTAATGTAAATATTGTGTTTTTAACAAAAATGTAGCTATAACAATTTACAGCTTTGAATGTAATGTTGAAGCAGCAAATGATTATTATTATTATTATTATAAATGTTCAAACTTCTATGGTTTTGTGAGTGTAGAAGATCATGCGTAATGGCACCTAACACATTTACAATTTCAATAAACTGCCCTATGTAATACGAATGCATTAATAGATTTCTACAAGGAGATTTGTGATGGAGGATTGTTTCCACTTTCTGTTTGTGATCTGAAACCACTTATTACATGTTCAGTCATTAAACGTTTTGCCTTTCCTCCAGGTTAACAGGATGTGGAGTGAGAACAGGAACACAATGGCAATTAAAAAAAAAACAAGGGGGGTGCTAATTCACTTAAGAATTGAGAAAACACCCAAGGGTGCGTTCAGCTCCTTGAAAATCAAAGTCATCTTGGATCCAGAGCGGAATCCTGGAAGAAATATGTCTGTTAACAGAGGTGAAGGTTTGTCTCAGTTTATGTGGAGCTACTCTAATTTAAAATTATATTTTTTATCTGGGTGATGATTAATAATTCAGCAATTTGGGGAAATTGGAAACACGGGACAAAGGGCAGAAAATAAGAAGGTAATTATTTTTCCTTTATAAAATAAGTCTTTAATTTGTCTAAAAGCAAAACGAAGGTCGATTAAATGAAAAACACAGATTTGTATTCATTATAAAATGTGAAGTAAAAGCCATATATTTCACTAATAGAAAATCACAAGGTTAAAAATGTGAGGCTGAACTTCAGGGCCCTGAACACCTCATGAGATCATGTCAGCTGAGCTGTGACGTGTCAGAACATCTTTAAGATAAAACACATGAACAGTTGTAAATATTCACACACTTTATTCCAAAGAATCATAAAAGTGTTCACTTCTCTGGATTCTCCTTCAAACCAACCAGTCTGACCTGCCGACCGGTGAGCGCAGTTAGCACTGATTAGCATTAGCAGGGTGATAAACACCATTTGTGGACTCGAAGGTAAAGTCGAGCTTTTTGAGTGAAAACACGTTCAGAAGAGTTTTTAATTACACATGGAGGTGGTTAGTGTGGACATGTTTCTGCTGCTTTCGGCCTGCGCATTAACCTAGCATTGACCTAGCCACCTTCTCTGGTAGCTGTGGCTAGCTC